GATTTTCTTCCCATGGACTCTTCTGGACTCCTAACACTAGGATGTATTGGTAGGGGTTTCATGGAAGAAGCTGTGCTATAAGGCCATCTATCACACCAGGACCAGCACTGTGATAACACCCCCCCTCACCCCGCCTTGGTTCCTTCTAGTATCCCTTTCCTATCCTTCCTTTACCGCAATATCCTAAACCTTCTGTGTGAATCCAGGGTAGACTACAAAAAGCTCTATCCACTCCCTGGTTCCTCTTGCCTTTCAACAGCTAAAAACTTAATGGGGTTTGAAAAAGACTCCACACCCTGACGTACCAATGATTCGGAGAGTGACAGTGTTTGGGTCACAGATTTTTTTTTTTTTTAAAGATTTTATTTATTTATTTGAGAGAGAGAATGAGAGAGAGAGAGAGCACATTAGAGGGGGGAGGGTCAGAGGGAGAAGCAGACTCCCTGCCGAGCAGGGAGCCCGATGCGGGACTCGATCCCGGGACTCCAGGATCATGACCTGAGCCGAAGGCAGTCGCTTAACCAACTGAGCCACCCAGGCGCCCTGGGTCACAGATTTTAGACAGAAGACGAGCTGTGACATGGAAGTACCTTAGTTGAACACAGTATACTAGATTTGGGGAAATCCACAAATATGAATTACACTGTTAGTGTAGAATCTACCCTGCAGGAAACCGAAGGTCTTCTTGAAATCACCTTTCGGTACTCAAATGCAGTAAACTTCAAGGACCTGAGGGTTTTATTCACCGAAGAATTACTGTGGGCTACACGTGCAAATGCACAGAAATGAATACTTAGAGCAAGCACTTGGAACAAGACCTCTCAATTCTTCCATATTCAACGCCATGTTAATCTGCCTGTTCACTTACTCTGAAGCCCAGCATTAACAGCAATCCTATTGATCACAGCGCACAGAAATTCGCAGAAAGAGGCCATAATGCTGGTGCTGAAGAACAGTGTCAGCATCTTGGATTTACCATGATCTAGAGTACCGCGTACGTCAGGAAGGACACTGCCCCACTGCAGCAAAGCTGACTACGCCTTGGTCCCCAAATTTCAACTCACTGCTAGACAGCTCCGCCTAAACATCACCTATGTTTTACTCCAAATCCACAATACCACCCCTAATTTGCAATAATAACAACAGCAATGTTTTCCCACTCTGGTTCAAAGCTACTGTGCGATTATTTAACCCAGGAAGGCAGTCAGGATCCTCTCCACCCTCACCCTGTAGCAGCGCTCACAGTCATTCGTTCTTTACCGTTCCCATCCCCAGTGGCCCTGGTCAAGAAATTATTCCTTAAACTCAAGTTTCCCAGCAGGGTCTTCTCGGTGTCCCACAGTCAAATTCATGCTCCAAAACATTATTCTGAACAAGGCATCCAAGCCTTGAAAAAAAAAAAAATCTACAGATCTGGCAATGCAGCCAACACAAATCTATTCTGATTAGCTTGGACAAGCTCCAAGCACCTTCCACAAGAAGTTTCTAGACACAGGGGGCTCAAGACCAAGGACTCTGAATCTCCAAAGGTAACTGTGTTCACTACTTTTTTGACATCGCTTCTTTCTCTATGGTAATCAACAATTAAATCTCTGAAAAGGGTTTATGGCTCATTTTCATGGACAACCAGAAGGAGCAGGTGGACTGCTTCCTACACCACAGCCAGCCTTGGAGGAGAATGAATTCCAAGAAATAGAATAGTGAAAGCAACTTTAAAAAGAAAAAAAGGAACACGAGCAAACTCCCTGAGTCTGTGGGTACATGGAGAAGGCTGAAGTGGTGAGCGGATTTTTAATTTTTTTTTTAAGATTTTATTTTTAAGTAATCTCTCTGCCCAAAATGAGGCTCAAACTCACAACCCTGAGATCAAGAGTCACATGCTCCACTGACTCAACCAGCCAGGCACCCCTAGTTGGATTTAATTTTGAGAGAGAATATGAAGCCTTCAGGATGAAATCCAAATATCTTACTCTACATTTAAGAAATTTCCAGGCACCTGGGTGGCTCAGTCAGTTAAGCATCCAACTCTTGATTTTGGCTCAGGTCACGATCTCAGGGTCATGAGATAGAGCCTTGCATTGGGCTCCGTCCTCAGCACAGAGTCTGCTTGAGATTCTCTCTCTCCCCCTCTCCCTTTGCCCCTCCCCCCTGCTCGTGCACGCTCTCTCTTTCAAGTAAATAAATAAATAAATCTAAAAAAAAAAAAAGAAAGGAAAGAAAGAATGAAATTTCCATCTTAGAGGCCCCTGGGTAGCTCAACTGGTTAGGTAACCAACTCTTGATTTCGCCTCAGGTCATGATCTCAAGGGCCTGGGATTAAGCCCTGCATGGGGCCCCACATTCAGCATGGAGTCTGCTGGAGATTCTCTCTCTCCCTCTGCCCCTCCCCCCTGCTCGCGCACGCTCTCTCTAAATAAATAAAATCTTAAAATAAAAAAAGAAATTTCCATCCTAACTAGTGACCTAGTGGGTTAGTGAAAACATATACATAAAAGGAAAAATAAACATAAGCAGACTATAGCAAGAACATGAAGCAAGTAATTCAAGAGTTCAAAGGAGGAACCACAAAAATGAAGCACCTGGATGACAGAGAAGTCAGGATTTTGAACTGTATCCTGGAGTGTTCAGGGAGTATGTAAACCAGTTTGGCTAAGGCAGAGAACACAGAGACCAAAGAAGATGAGAGAGAGTGTATGTATACAGTCGTCCCACAGTTCCAGTCCATTGTTCATATGCCTTTTACTCCTCTATCTGGACTTGAGTCGGTTCAGAGGCCAGGAACCACTACAGTTTGTTGACCTATTAGCTAAACGTCAGTCCCCAGAACTCAGAATGTTAGTAACAGTTTTACTAAATTTAATCTCAGAACAGCATAACATTGAGGTGCACTGTGAGTTCAGATTTTTAAGTACCTGTACTAAAAATAGCAAAACTTTTGTAAAAGTCAAGACGCAGGGATCCACAAATCAAAACAAGAATTTTTAAACCCAGACACTTACAAAAACAGTTAGGAACTGCTTAATAACATGGACATCCTCTAAAGGAAAAGGCAGAAGAATTGAAAGTCTCATGAAGTGATAAACAGTTTTAAAAACAGGTTTACAATCAGTTTTTAAACACTAAAACTACTCCGGGAAATGGAAATTCCTCTCCTTAATCCCTTTGAGGGCAATATACCTGAGTCAGGAATAAGAACATCCTGCCTCTGCCTAAGTTCAAATGTGAACCTTTTACAATATCCCTAACATTAAATAGCAAATAGAGGAGAAGACAATTTCCAATCCGTCAAAAAGAAAAGCAGCCACTGTTCTGGATTTGCCACCTATCTTTGCCAGACACATAAGCAGAAGCTTCAGTAAAACGAAACTAGGGAACCTCAAGGTTTGAGTTGACAGTGATTACTTAAGCTTATGTCTGTGAAATGAAACTACCAGAACCTTTAAATATCAATTTGCTTGTCGCTAAACCACAGGTTTATGCTTCGTCTTGGAAATGCTAACAGGATGGAACCCGTGAGCCTTTTATTAAAACGTGATGACCATGGAGAGCGCCCTTGAAGCTTAGCAACAGAGGACTCAACCCTAAAAGGTTCCCCTCTGAAAAAGTGAGGATGGGTTTGACATGTAACCCAGCACCAGTCCTAAAACGCTTGACTGCACTTTCCATAAAAGGTGGGAGTTGTAATAGTAGCACAGAGCAGACACCAGCCCACTAGAAGCAGATGGAACCCACCAACTCATTTTACCCAGACCTCCAAAAAGGTACACAGAACTGTCTGTGCTTGCCAAAGCAGGGCAGATCTGAATGGGTGAATCTACGAAAACGCTTCACAAAGGATTACTAATGGTATTGCATTTGCCTACTGTAGCCCCCAATGTAAAACAGGATCTGGAAAATGAAAAACAATTTAAAAGCTCGTTCTCCATACTCAAGCTAAACACACACACGGCCCAGATTTTTATTTTACAAATAAAAAATGACTCAGTAACCTATTCCAGGACAAGGGCTCTTCTAGAAGGGATATCTAGCTAGAAACATTCCCTGCTTATGTACATAGTTCATCAGGGGTCAGGTAAGATTCCATTTTGTAACAGCTGAACTTTAAACAGAAAGTCATTAATGGTGCAACATTCACTCATTAGCATGAAGCTACCTCCTAGAATGAAAAGCATTGGCTGTATCTGCCAGGATGACAACTTTACAGTGAGAAGCTGAAGCCAAGGATCCTGAACTCCTAGAAAGTTCTATTGGCCTCAGAAGAGCTCACCATCTCCACCGGCCTACACTTAGCTGTCACCCTATTTCTCAATCCCCACAGAAAAAGACATCGCTAATACCGGAAATTTATTTTAAATAAAAAATTAAAAGATGGGCAAAAGGGTCAACAGCCGGCAAAACATTACAGGGCTGACATGATTCCTGTTTGGGATTGGGGGAGGGGGAGGAGCTTTCTGGATGTTTCTATTCTTGGCAAGGAAAGCACCTCCAGGTCCTGTACCATCAAAAGGCAGTAACACAGGAATGTTCTCAGGGAATCAATGATCTGCCTGTGCTAATAGACTTCATCTCTGGGTGTGCTGATGGGGAGCAAGATGGGGAGGGCTGGAGGGGGGAGACTGGGGAAGGTGTGTTTGACTAGGGGGGGATGGGAGGAAAGACTAGATGGATAAGGGGGCCGGGAAAGGTGTGGACTGTTAAGGGGGAGAGTGCGGATGACTAAGGGAGGTGAGGGGAGGATGTGGATGGCTAAGGGGATGTCCAGAAAAGGCCTGGAAGGCTGAGGCGGAGGGGGAAAAGGTGTGGACCGCTAAGAAGGAGTGGGGGAAGGTGCGGATGGCAGAGGGATGGAGGGATGGCCATCAGACCCTGGAGAAGCGGCAACGAAGGCAGGCCGAGGGGGGTGGCCTCGCCCAGGCTCCCCCCAATCCACCTTCTGTGGGCGTGTGCCCGGCTGCGCGTGTGCAAGGGCCAGGCCACCAGGCCGCAGGGCCACCACTCACCCCACGACTCCCTGGTTGTAATTCCTCCGCTTCCACGGGGTCCCGCTGTACACGCCCCCGCTGCCGTCGGCCCGGCCGCCCCCCGCGGCCCGCCCTCCGCTGGGCTGCAGCAGGCTGTAGTTGAGTCCGTAGGTGCTGGCCTTATTGTCGCGCTTCCTCTTGTTGCTGCTGCCCGAGGCCGGGTCCGCGGGCTCCGCGGCGGGGACGGCGGCGGAGGAGTGTGGGGACGAGGACGCGGAGGGGGACGGGGACGCCGAGGGGCCCGCGACAGCCCGGCGGGCCCAGGCCGCCGGCTGGTGGTGGTTGTTGTTGTTGTTGGTCGTCTCCAGGGGCAGGAAGTCCCGCTGCTCCGCGGACTGCGCGTGGCCGCCCAGCAGGCGCTCCCCGGAGCGGTACATGCCGGCCGGGG